ACGAATTTATTTGACGATTTTTGATTTATATCACGAATTTATTTGTTTTACTAGAATTTATTTGTTTGTGCAGGTTTTTTCATTGCAATTCACTTATTTCAATTTTTAATAGACTTAATTATAGCCAAAATTTTAACCTTTTAAAAGATATATCAGTTTTAGAAATTTTATCTCAAGATTTTATACTATAGCACATTTCTAATAGGTTTAACGAATTACATGTCATTTATTTGAATTCAAATTTATTTTAATGACTTAGTATTTACTAAAAAGATAAAAAAAAATTTTATTAAAAAAATTGAATGATTGTTTTAAATTCTTAGAATTTTGCGCATTTGCCATGTACCCAAGTTAGTAGCGAGCGAAGCGAGCTTATATAAGATTGCGTAGCAATTTTTAGGGGTTGGCCAGCGTCAGCGAGCAGGGGGCGCAGCCCACTAGTATCAAATAAATATAATAATATCAACGAATAAATTAATATAAAATTGGATATAACAAATATTTCGGACATACACCGGCGAGGATCCGAATGTAATGATATATTCGATCTTCCACCTACGTTTTTGGTGTTTCTCCAAATTCACCGTAACATATATATTTGGAAACTGATTAAAAATATTTTTGAGTGCTTTTTTTGTGAAAAATCTGGCTACACGGCTTAAGCTTTGAAAGTATGACTTAAATACTTGTAGATATTTTATTCTAAAGCAATGTTAAAAACAATATGAAATCTTTGCTCACTATTTTGCAGAATTATTATTGTCTAGCATGCAAGAAAATGATTAATTTCTGTTAAATAGGCATAGACTGAGCAGAGTATGTAGCTTTTTTCAAGATATCCTGGACAAATTTTGCACAATATAAATCGAAGGATTTTTTTTTTAATTCATTATAAATCTAATTAATTGAATCTGCAACTGTACAGCCTGGAGCGCAATTAGCAAAATAAAGCAAAATGAAGTACAAAACCCTATAAAAATAATTAACAGATATGTACCTATATCCTACAATACCCAGTGAAAACTTTTTCTTGAATAACGTATCAAAATTATCGATCGGCATTCTGCCACATCTTTAAATGCTTTTTAATATTTGTTTTACGAATAACGTGATGAAAATATTCATCGACATTCTTTTGTATCTGTAAACGCCGTGGAACATGTTTTTTTCAAACTCGACATTCTACGGCGTTATTGAAATATCGATCCATATCAATTTTACAATGTCGTACAATATTAAAAAAATCGGGCGTTTTTACATAGATCGATGTTTCGGAACAGCATCGATCGACGCCGTAAACGAAGTTTTTTCTAGATCAATCGATATTGTGTGCTACTTGGGTTTACCTATCTTCAGCTACTTGCAGTACTTTCGTTCTGAAATGAAACTTTTTCAAGCGATGAAATTTTGTATTAATGGAAAATAAAATTCACCAACTCGTCGCCAATGTACTGTCCCCTAGTGTGGGGGTTTAGGAAATAACATTCTTATACACGCGAGCACTATTTATCAATAATTCACAACATTTAAAATTTAGAATACAGAAAATGCATCTTAACGCAACACTAACAGGTGCGGAATCTAAACTCAAATTTTAAAGAGGGAAAGTCCCAATTCGATGGCGTAGGCGTGATAGTTCGTAAACATAGCCCCGGACGCTGAAATACACGAGATACAGTAGGCAGGCAAGAACAAACAGGTTGTCATTGTCAATTGAAGAAACAATCATCCCTACTATCATCGTTTGTTGTTATCTGAAGGGGGGGGGGCAGTGTCAACAATTCAAGTTTAAAAATAACCATTATCTGGAAGAGCCTAAATCTGCAGTTGGTAGCCAAGAACAAAACAGGTTGCCATTGAAGAAACAGTCATCCTTACTATCATTGCTTGTTGCTATCTGAGGTGGGGGGGGGGTGAACAATTCAAGTTTAAAAATAACCATTCTTATCTGGAAAAACTTATATCTACAGATGGTAGAAAAAAATTGGAGATGTAGAAACCACAAACCTCAGGAATGTGTAGTGGAAAGACCTAAATTGTATAGCAGTACAAGAATGAATTTGAAAACCACAATGAAAATAAATGAAAGGGTAGATCACTTTATTTCAAAAAAACCTTTATTACACTGACTAAATGAATTATTTAAGTTACTCAAAGGCAAATAGAATTACAATTATGTAAAAGATAAGACAATTATGTAAAAGATAAATAAAAAAAAACAATGAAAAAATGTATTACCTAAGTTACAAGATCAAGGTTGTTTACAGTATGAGTGCAATTGTGTTTAGTTAGTGTTCTCTTAGCTGAAAAACTCTTATTGCATATAGTACAAGAATAAGGTTTCTCACCAGTATGAGTACGATAGTGTCTAGTTAGTGAACTCTTAATTGAAAAACTCTTATTGCATATAGTACAAGAATAAGGTTTCTCACCAGTATGAGTGAGACTGTGCTCATTTAGTGTACTCTTCGCTGAAAAATTCTTATTGCATATACTACAAGAATAAGCTTTCTCTTTAGTATGAGTGCGACTGTGTCTAGTCAGAGTACTCTTCTCTGAAAAATTCTTATTGCATATACTACAAGAAAAAGGTTTCTCCCCTGCATGAGAGCGACTGTGTTTAATTAGATGACACCTTAATGGAAAACTTTTAAAACATATACTACAAGAATAAGGTTTCTCTTTCGCATGAGAGAAAATGTGCACATTCAGACTACTCTTCTGTGAAAAATTCTTATTGCATATACTACAAGAATAAGGTTTCTCCCCTGTATGAGTACGAATGTGTTTAGTCAGATTAGACCTATGAGAAAAATTCTTATTGCATGTACTACAAGAATAAGGTTTCGCACCTGTATGAGAGTGACTGTGCACAGTCAGATAAATCTTCTGTGAAAAATTCTTATTGCATATATTACAAGAATAAGGTTTCTCACCAGTATGAGTACGATTGTGGTTAGTTAGTTGAGACTTTTCTAAAAAATTCTTATTGCATATACTACAAGAATAAGGTTTCTCACCAGTATGAGAGTGACTGTGCACAGTCAGATAAATCTTCTGTGAAAAATTCTTATTGCATATATTACAAGAATAAGGTTTCTCACCAGTATGAGTACGATTGTGGTTAGTTAGTTGATACCTATCTACAAAATTCTTATTGCATATACTACAAGAATAAGGTTTAGGTCTTGCACCTGTATGAGAGTGACTGTGCACAGTCAGATTATACTTCTGTGCAAAACTCTTATTGCATATACTACAAGAATAAGGTTTCTCACCAGTATGGGTAAGATTGTGTTTAGTCAGTTGATACCTATCAAAAAAATTCTTATTGCATATACTACAAGAATAAGGTTTCTCACCTGTATGAGAGCGACTGTGCACTGTCAGATTAATCTTCTGTGAAAAATTCTTATTGCATATACTACAAGAATAAGGTTTCTCACCTGTATGAGAGCGAATGTGCACAGTGCGATTCTTCCGAGAAAAATTCTTATTGCATATAACACAAAAATAAAGTTTCTTATTAGTATTAACATCAAGCCTAAACATGTTACTGTCTGCTAAAGAACTCATATTGTATAAAATGCAACGGTATTAATCTGTATATTACAAATTATAATTTCAAAGATCTAAATATATTGCAATAATAAGATTTTGTAAGAGTGAACTGTCTTAAAGCACGTTAAAATATATTTGTAGAAAAACTTCACTAAAAATTTTACTCAAGTTTATTTCAGGATACTATTGTTGGATATTAATAACTATTACTGGACATTTTAAAAAACTAAAGCAAAAGTAGTACTCAAATTGTTATAAATACATCTAAGTTTTACAATGAAATGAGTATCAGAGTAACTCATAGTAATAAATACATAGCAATAAAAAAATCATAGTAATAAAAAATTCATACAGTATTATAAAAATCCTATTAGGAAATTAAAATGTCTTGCTTTCTCTGTGGCTGGCAGTAGAAACAAATTTTAAGATAACCTATTCTTGGCTATTATCTTTGGTTGTCTTCAAGCACCATGAAATTCACATCAATGCATCCAACTATAAAGAGCAACATTGAGAAAAAAAATTAAATGGCCTAAAATTGAATCAAATTTTTTATGTAACAATTGAATAAAACTTAAATTATGCTAACAGATGCAATAAACTTTTTACAGGTCAAAATTAACAGTTAACACAGGCTATAAGGAGATTAAAAAATTGGCTGCAAGTCCCTACTTTAGACGTCAAAAATACATTGATTATTATTCTTTTAGATAAACTATTCTGAAAATTAATTGTTTGCAACTTGTTTCTTAAAACCATGCAGTACTAAGAATAAAGTTTGTAAGGTTCATCATATTTTGGGAAAGGCTTAAAAAGAAATGCAGTCCGTGGATCGAGATTCGGACAGAAAGTAAAGGTTTATTAACAAAAAGCAAACAAAAGCATACAAATTTAAAAAGAACGCCATCTTGAGGTATAAAAAGAAAAAGACTTCGTAGTAATCCTTCCCTGCTAATGACAACTATCTCCCCCTGCGAGAAGGATTTTAATTTTTAATTCAAATAACAATATACACATAAAAAATATTAATTCTTTTAATATAAATTCCAAATTAAACTTATTTTTTCCAAAGAGAAAATTAACTTCTCAAATGCAACAGCTTTTGTTAAAAAAAATCAGAAAAATATTATTATTAGTATTCTTATAAACAGTTTTTAATATTTTATCTTCAATCATATCTCTGACAAAATGACATTTAAGATTTACATGCCTGGTTTCATTAGAAGATTTACCATTGTTCAACTAGTCAATAGCATGTCCAAGCATGTTCTCAAGCTGTGTCAGTCGCAGCAAATCGTTCAGTTTCACATGTTGTAAGTCCTACACATATTTGTTTTCTACTTTTCCATGTTATAAGAGAATTAACTATCATAATTACACAACCTGAAAAAGAGTTTCCTCCATCTGCGTTGCCCCAACTTGCATCAGCACCACAATTTAAAAAACCGAATTCTTTACTATAAAACATGACTCTTTTGAACCGTTCAAATATTTCAAAACTCTTTTAGCTAAAACATAATGCCTTTTTTTGGGGGTGTTTATAAAATTGTGATAAATAACTAGTTACAAAAGTAATATCTGGTCGGGTTCTATTTGCTAAATATAAAAATTGACCGACGATTTCCTGATAATCAGTCTACTAAATCATCAGTAGGATTAAAACATCTATCTTCACCTTTAATTATAGGAATATTAGTTTTCTTACAATTTTGCAAACCATATTTTTTCATTAAAGTTTCAATGTAATGAGTTTGAGATAAACCAATTCCGTTTTCTTTTGTTGAATTTGAAGAGAAATCTCAATGCCTAAAAATTTTGAATCATTAGTTGTTACTTTTAATTCAAATATTTGTAAGTTTTGAAATGATATCCTTGTATAATTTCGAATTATTGGAAAATATTGCCAAATCATCTACGTATACACAAATTGCGAAAAAATCATTATCATTAATTTTAGTAAATACGCAATTGTCAGATGCAAGTTGAGTGAGACCAATCTTTTTAAGTTCATTTTTAACTTAATATGCCAATTTCTACCAAATTGAGGTAAGCTATAAATACTTTTATTTAACTTGCACACTTTATTTTACCATATTTATCTCACAAAACCTGGAGGTATTTCTATATACAGTTACAGTCGAACCCCGCTATAGCGGTCTCAGTAATGTGTCCACTATAAACGATGGTTCACTATATCCAAATTTTTTGAAAAACATTTTTTGCATAAGACAGTTGAATGATTGAAAATTGTGTTTGCCATTTTACATAAGTTATTGAAAAAATTATTAACAGATAATAAAGAAAAAATTAATGAAAAAAGTACTTACGTCGCTTAAAAATTAGTTTTAATTTCACTTTTTATGAAAAAAATTTGTGATTTTTGATTGAACACAATTTGATTTTAAATAGAGTTCATCAATTTTCTTATCTACAATGTGCAAAGAATGCAAGATTTTTTGATCTACATTTTCTGTAGAAAAAAACAAATTAAGGACATTTATGGCTGATTTTACTTCAGCTATAGATGGTGCTGAAAGTTAATTTTCTTCTTCAACATTTTCTTCTAATAAGTCTTCTCTACTTTCGTTTGTTTGTTTTATTTCACTGACAATGTCATCGGTAGGAGTACCAGAAGTACATACTTCATCATCGCAACATTCAAATTGCTCAATAACGTCCTTAAGGAAAATGTCCACTCCATGTTTTTTTAGTCATAGAGAAATAGGTAAATTTTCTTCCTCATCTTTGGAATCTTTTTCTTCTAAATCCTTTGAAAGACCTGCATGTCGGAAACAGTTGCGGATTGTAGCTGATGTTACTTGCCTCTATGATTTTTCTAGCAAAACTATTGCTTCCAGAAGAGAGATGTTGCATCCTGAGTCCATGTTGTTTTTATCATAGTTATCTAAAATATGCATAACTAATTGCCTCCTAAAGTGAAACTTCAGATTGCGAATTACACCCTGGTCCATGAGTTGCAACACAGAAGTCGTATTTGGTGGTAGAAATACGAGCTGAATACACTTTAGACTTTTTAAATGGAGTGAGCTGTGCAATTGTCTACAAGAAGAACAATTTTACGATTTACTTTTAATAAAACACTGTCCCACTGACAAAGTTCGTCTTCAAAAAAAATGGGAGGTTATCCACGCTTTTTGATTGGCTTTGTAGTTTACGAGCAGTTTTTTTTAAACATTTTTAAAGCACATTGGTTTTTGAGATTTACCTATGACAGTTAGTTTTCGCTTTTCTGAGCCATTTATGTTAGCACCAACAAGAACTGTTATTCTTACTTTGGAGACTTTCCCATTAGTGCATTTTTCTCCTTTAAATTTTAACGTCTGATTGGAAATCAATTTGTAAAATAGTCCAGCTTCGTCAGGATTAAAAATGTCTTTCTCTTCTTAATTCTGTATAATATTCGGCCACACTTCAGTTTTCCACANTACACTATTCTAGGATTCCAGAATCATCGCGTAAAGACCTCGCGAATGCCAGTCAGTCTCGAAAACTATCGCGACTGGCAGGACAGAACGGAACCAGTCCGTAACATTACCACATGAATTTGGTTTCAAAAGTACAACCCTATTATAGTAAATGTTTTTTTCAGTATACACTTTAAGACTATTTAAATGGAGTGAGCTGTGCAATTGTCTACAAGAACAATTTTACGATTTACTTTTAATAAAACACTGTCCCACTGTCGAAGTTCGTCTTAAAAAAAATGGGAGGTTATCCACGCTTTTTGATTGGCTTTGTAGTTTACGGGCAGTTTTTTTAAAACATTTTTAAAGCACATTGGTTTTTGAGATTTACCTATGACAGTTAGTTTTCGCTTTTCCGAGCCATTCATGTAAGCACAAACAAGAATTGTTATTCTTACTTTGGAGACTTTCCCATTAGTGCATTTTTCTCCTTTAAATTTTAACGTCTGATTGGAAATCAATTTGTAAAATAGTTCAGCTTCGTCAGGATTAAAAATGTCTTTCTCTTCTTAATTCTGTATAATATTCGGCCACACTTCAGTTTTCCACATCCGTTGCATCAACACTAGCTTCTTCTCCAATAATCTTTCCTGAAGAAATATTATTCCGTTTTTTTTTTTTTTAATCTATCCAGCCATCTATTCGAGCACACAAAATCCTTTTCCTCTATTTTTTCAGCAAACTCATTTGCTTTAATTTGATGCGTAGGTCCGGTCACAGGAAGATTTCTATCTCGCTGAGTGCTGAACCATTTTAACAANTCTCTTTCAGCTCCACGCAGTTTTTTCGATGAAACCATGTTTTTGTCGTATGCCGCAAGAATTGCACTTCGATTTTTCCAAATGTTTGAAACTGTAGATTTTGACAAGCAAAATTCCTTACACAGTGTCGATTGATTGGTTCCATCATCAATACGCTTTACAATTTTAACTTTGTCCTCTATCGAAAACGCTTTTCTCTTTAGAGAATTTGCCCTTTTCCCTGCTTTTGAAATAAAAATCTTGTTTCAAATAAATAATGCAAGAATGTGAAGAGAGCAGTTGTTGAAGGAGCTAAATTGTTCCCCTTCTTGATTGTCAAGGGGTGATTTGTAAAGAATATGGTTTGAATACATAAGAAAATTCCAAAAATTCAGCAGGTGGCTAAGTTAACCAGTTGTAGAGCAAGCTTTAGGAAAGGGGACAAAGAGAGGTTTGCCAGGAAGGGGGAGTATAAGATAAATGTTCTGTTTAACATTTATTACAGTATAGTTAAAAGTGATAAGCATACAGGAGTGAAATATGACACATTGTATGGGAATGCATTCATTTTCAGTCCCAACACCTGCAAGTTTAAAGATGGAGGATTGAAAAAGATAATTAAAGAAATGAAATTTGAGTCCACTATAACCGAATTTCCAAGTTCTCAGCTGTTAACTATAAGTGTTAAAAATAACATTATTCAAATAGGAGTACGGACGGGACCACTAAAAAAGTTCACTACATCCGAGTGTTCACTATAGTGGGGTTCGAATGTATACAGTTTCATCAATGAATAGGCAGTTTTAATATCAAAAAATTTAACTAATAGATCCAATTTTGCTGCTAAAGAATGATTTAACATTTACCACAGGTGAATACGATTTAGAATCAACATTTTTTATTTGATTGAAACCAGCTGCAACCAGTCGCACTTTGTAAATTTTGTTAGTAACGTCATTTTTAATTGTATACACATATTTACTTTTTATTATTTTTTTCCTTCTTAGGCCTCTCAATTAATTCGGAAACCCTATGTTTCTCCATCGAAAGAAGTTCATTTTCCATTGCGAATATTTATTACTATTTATCAACTAGTCATAGAGGAACAGATGATCCTTTCGAAGCTAAGTTTGCGAATATTTTATTTTTTCAGAACGTCTTAAAGCGGAGTAGTTTGTCTATTTTCGATTTGCGAATCGGTACTATCTTGAGACGATTTATGAGAAACAGAATGTTCACTCCTTGATTCGGATGGAGGGGAGTTTTGGGTTTCAGTTTCGATTTGCAGTTGAGATATATTAAACTGGGTCAAATCCTCAATGTTCCATATGCTACAATCATTTTTGTTTGTCAGAAATTTACTTCCTCTTAATGATTCGGTAAATTTCAATTACACTCTCTTCAATTACAATATTTTTATCGACATCATATATTTTATAAGCGCGCCTTTCTCTAGAATAACCGACGAAAATCCCACGTTTTACCGGAAAATCAAATTTATTTCGGAATTGTTTAGGTATATTAGTAATTGTTTATATTTCAAAAAATAAGAAAAGTTCATCCCAGAAAAATCATTCACTAGAACTAAAAAATATCTTGAATTCCCTATTGAATCACAATTTATTGGGCGTGCTAGGTCCGCATGGATTAACTCTAATATAGAATTACTTTGTGCAATAATAATTGCTGGATGACTCTTATGGGTTACTTCACTTATGTCACAAGATTCACAATGGTAATTTTCAAAATCTTTATAATTTATGCAAGGATATTTTGCATTTTAACCATGTATTGTGGATTTAAATGAGAAAGTCTTTTATGCCAAATATTATAAGTATCCAAATTACTTACTTCATGACATTCTAACTCAGAATTATTTACATCATTATAATCAAATGATTTAGGTGAGGTGTTATGAAATGATTCTATTAAAATTTCAAAACGATTGTTTACTTTTATAGCTTTTAGAACTATGCGATTGTCATTACTTGAAATCAAAATATCATTACCATTAGATTCAATTTTATAACCTTTATCAATTAATTTAGATACTGAAATTAAATTGTTTCTTAAATCTGGTTTATATATAACATCCAGTGGCGTACGCAGAATTTTTTCAAGGGGGTGCTCATAATTTTCTGAAGCTACTAAAAGAAATTCGAGTATGTAAAAAAGCACTATTATTTCCCTAATTTAGGCAGTTTTGACTTTTTATTTAGACAACACTGTTTAGTTAAATTTTGATTTGATTTTTTTACGTTTAAGAACATAATGTAATATCTTCTCGCATGTAATATCTTCTGAAAAAATTTCAATGTCATATGGGTGGGAAGTAACACTTTGAGGGCCACTTTCAATTTCATCAGATTTTGTTATGCTAGAAATGTTTTCTTCTACGGAAGTATCACATTTCTGTACAACAGAAAAACTTACATTGTACTCCGTTCCCCCTTTTATATAATTTTTCACCGCATCTCTAAAATTCTCGAATGGTCTCAAAGACGACAGAACGTCTAAGATTCCAGAATCATCGCGTGAAGACCTCGCGAATGACAGGCAGTCTCGAAAAGTATCGCGACTGGCAGAACAGAAAGGAGCCAGTCCATAACAGTATCACGTGAATTTGGTTTCAAAAGTACAACCCTATTATAGTAAATGTTTTTTTCAGTATTCTGAGAAATACCGTGAGATAAAAAGATAGGCATAAGGCAAATAAAAATATATAGTCTTAAAAAATAATACCCGCATAATTTCTACTAAAATGTTTAATTTTGCCATTTTGTCTGAGCTCAAGGGGGGTGTTCAAACCCCTCCCTTGCGTACGCCACTGATAACATCAAATATTGTTAGATTTTTTCTGCAATTATCGACTGTTGTAGTAGCTTTTACAATACCACAACTTTTAAAAATTAAATTTGACTTGTTACCTGCTAATTGTATCATTCCATTAATATGATTTATCCTTTCAAAAAAGTTTAAATCTCTTACCGTGTGTGAAATAGCATCAGAGTCTAGAATGAAAACAGTTTTGTTTTTACCGGTAGCACTAGAATTTACGCAATGTTCTTGTTCGGGCGTAAGAGCGAAATTTTCACTAAAATGTTTATCTTGACTTGCACAATGAGTGTTATTGTTTTTGGTTTTGCTCATGCCCGATTTATAGTTCGAAAAAGTTCTTTTTTTTTTAGATGCTGGGTTTTGATTTCCCTCGTTCTTGCTTCGGAAATAGCAGTCTCTAGCTAGGTGATTCATTTTATGGCAGATGAAACATTTCTTCGTGCTTCGATTTTCATATTTATGTTTTACTCCGAGTGCTTCAGTTCTTCTAGGAATATCACTTTTTAATTTTGATAAGCAGCTTCCTTCTTCTCTCAGTAATTCTAAAATTTCATCTATTTGTTTTTCACGTTGGGTTTTCAGTTTTCAGGATCTCTCTTATTTTTGAAAACGTTCCTCGTAAACCTCTAACTGTGTAATAAACATGTTTCCTTTCTGAAATTTCCAGTCCCAATGACGAACATTTCGTTTGAAGTCCTCGTGATCTTGCAATATAGTCTGAAACATTTTCATTTTCTTTAATTTCAAGATTTTTTACTTCGCTATTTGCATCGATTTTGCGATCTTCGGTTTTACCAGAATATGATTTGAACTTTTTTCCCATAGAATTTTTGCATTAGTTTTGTTTGCGAACTGAAGACTTAAGTCACCAGAAAGCGAAGTTGAATGTAGGCTACTGTGTCATCATTGTTTAGTGTCCATTGTTCCTGCAACTTTGTATCAAAAACTACATTAAAATTTTTACTCAAATGTCTCAGCATAATGAGTTATAGAGTTACTGTTGGATACTAATAACCATTACTGGATATTATATTTAAAGACTAATGCAAAAGTAGTATTACTAAAATAGTTATAAATACATCTAAGTTTTACAATGGAATGAATATCAGAGTAATTCATAGTAATAAATACATAGCAATAAAGAAAATCATAGTAATAAAAAAAAGCATACAGTATTATTACAGTGCTATAAGGTAATGAAAATGCCTTACTTTCTCTGCGGTGGGCAGTAGAAACAAATTTTAAGATCACTTATTCTTGGCTAATATCTTTGGTTATTTTCAAGCACAATGAAATTCAGAACAATGCATCCCACTATAAACAGCAACATTGAGAAAAAGTCTTAAATGTTCATAAAATTTATTGCATATTAAAATTTCATCAAATTCTTTGCAACCATTAAAATAAGTACTTAATCACGCCAACAGGTACAATAAACTTTTGTACAGGGTAAAATTAACATTCAACACTGGCTATAAGGCGATTACAGGCAACATTCTTATAACCTTAAAAATATACTGCTTAAAGAAAAAATATGGTTTAGAAATATTTATTGTTGTAGCTGTTCATTGCTTTAATTTACTGCTATTGAAATTTTTTTTTACAAAAATTACATAATAAATATTTTTGAATTTTTCCCATCTAAAAAAATGTTCATGTTTAACTTTAGTTACTATGGCTTAAAATATTAAAGAAGAAGTGAAAGTATACAAGGAAAACATTGTTGCTATCATATAAAGTCAATACATATTCATTCAGATGTGCATCTCTTCAGGAGTCAAAAAACGTGTTTTTAAAGAAAAAAATTTTACTTTTACAATAGAAATGGCACAAATATGTGAGACACATGTGATCATTGTCCTAAAGGGGTTTAAGTTTGAAATATGCATCATGAAATAACATTGTATAAAAAATAAAAATGATTGAAAAAACTCTCAGGGAAAAAAAAGTGGAATCACGATAGAACGAAGCGTGTTAAAAGTGATCTTTGAATACTAACAAACTGTAGTTACTGCAACCTGAAATTCGAGAAACGTTACAACATCGCATTAATCAAATACGAGTATATAACATTGTATAAATATGAAATTAAATGAAGGCAAAAACTGTTGGGGAAACAACATTAATTTGCAACATTATCGCACTGAATCGAGTGTGTAAAAAACATTTACTTTAAAGTGAAAAGGCAAGTAGCAATAACATAGTATTAAAAAACCAAAGGAAAGGTCTGAAAAAATTATAAAAACTCACGGCCTAAGGAAAACACTGGAAATAAAACTATAAGAAATCACAATGAAATCAAATGAGTCCAAGATTGATTTTTGAATAAAGTATTAACTAACAATTGTCACTGAAATACGTGTAACATAAACATCGGATTAATTAAAATAAGTATATTTAAAAAACCATGTTGGAAAAAAATGTGCTGAAATTTGACAATCATTTGACAGATAAAACGATTATAAAACTAAGTAAATTTAGGGTGAATCAATTTGAAATTCTCCAATTTAAAATCCGTGAGTCATAACATTGTATAAAATACAGCACAATTTGAAAACCCACATAAAAAGGATTGAAAAAATTCTTAATAACAGCTGACATCAAATATAATTTAAAAAATTCGACAGTGTGAAATTATGCGTCAAAAAGAGATTATCCAAATTCGCATGACATAATAACATATTACTAAAAAAGAATCAAATTTTTGAAAAGGGAAAAAATAATAATATAAAACTAAACATTTTATTTACGTTGCTTTTTTTTGAAGAAGAACTTTTAACGTACAAAAATGAGAACTTTTAAGAGTGCTTAATCTCTATGATACAAACTTATGCTCTATTAACTACAGTTTAAGGTAGAATGGCTCTCTTGCATTTCAAGAGGAATTCATTTATAAGTGGAAATTGTCTATTTTTCTTCACACATTCAATCCTCTTCTAAGCCATAATAGATCATATTGTTATATCATGGGTTTAGAGAAATATGGAATCGTTCTTTTGAATGAAATGGGGGGGGGGGATAGACAAATAAAAACTTTAAAAAAAGTGAGATAAGTGATTAAGCCTTAAAAATAGTAAATAAAAGTTACTATTTTTTAAGATAGTAACATTAAGTAAGAAAAGTTACTCACGCCTAGCTCTGCGATTAAAGTATTGGCTTCAAGTCGCCCCTTTGTGCGTCAAAAATGCTTCCCATTTGCATTTTATTATTATTGCTTTTAAATATAGATGGAATTAATATGAATATATTGCACTATTCTGAAAATTATTTAATTTATAGCTTGTTTCTTAATAGGTTTAATTTTTAGGAATAAGCTTTATGGTTTATCATTAATTAGGGAAATGCTTAAAAAGAAAGCTTCACATTAAGATTTAAAATTTTCAATTTTTGAAAAAGTAACCACAGGTTTTAAAAAGTTACCACAATTTAAAATGCTACAACTAACCACTGGCCAATATGAAAGTTTTCGAATTTTCTCTATAACTATACTCATAGGTGAGGGAAAAATTTGAGTAAAAGGGTTCTGGACAGTTTAAGACAGGACGGTTTAAACCGTGGATTAATCCATTCTGTCCTAAACCTTGCCAACCCTGTTAAAAACGACTGACAAACCAAAAAAAAAATCTCAATTGCAGAAGAGTCACATTTATGAAAACCTCTGGTTAACGCGATTTAGGGAAGGTTACAAAATCTAAATTGTAGAACTTAATTCTCACTTTAAATTTTAGATTGTGGGGAAAATTTAATCCTATTATAAATTTTGATTAGCAAAAGTCTGTGAATCAATAGTCTTCAGATAGACGGAATACCGTGAAAAAAATCACATGTCCTGCTCCCAGTTTCTAGACCTGGAGAAATAATACAAAAAACTTGGGAGTTCCGAAGTACACCCAGAAGAAAATCACCATTGAATGCTAAATGTCGTTTCATATCGTATTCAATGCTGTATTATCAGTTTCAATCAATGCTAAACGCTTCAATCAGTTCCAACTTAAGCCATAAAAAAAAAGCAGAAGTAACAAGATGTTTCTAAGAAGGAAAAAAAAATCAGATTACACATCCTTTATATTAATGTGTCAATTTTTACAGGAAAAAAATAATACAGAAAGCGAAAAAAGGAAGATAAACAAAGGAAATTCCACTTTGTTAACTAGCAATTAGTAAATAAAAGTTGATGTGGCAATATTTCCCAGATAGCAAAATGAGGTTTATTTTCACTCAGCAAAAACTTCTTAATGTAAGCCTAAAAAGGTTTGCTACGCGGTTTACATGTAAACCTTCTAACCTTAAAACGAGATTCGTGACAATCTGCTCTATTCTACGCACATTACCCTAATCCAAAACATTGAAATAAAAACCTTCTATATAAAAACCATAAGTCGAGGTTGACTAAGGGTTATCAAGTGTGAAAAAAAAATCCTTCAATAAGGCTAGTCTCAATGTGAAAATAATTTTAAATCTAGATAATTATAATCTTTCCTTTTGTAAAGACTTGTATGCTCAGCTAAAATCCTAAGGGGAAATTTTTAAAAAAAGCTTTAAAAAATAATTTTTAATCCTTTCAGGATTAAAGGTTTAAAACTGCAATATTTTTGCTTTATTGAAAAAAGGTTTTTTGCACAAACATTTTCGCGACAATAAAAAGAAAATTCCGACACAAGGTTGTCGTAAGGTTTACATTACATTTCTGGGTTTGTATTTCTGATATTTAATCTGAACTTTTCAAATTTTTATTAAAAATGTATCAAACGTACCTTTCAAAAAAATACTAAAATTAATTTTAATTAAAAATGACCTTTATCTTACATTTTAAGCTGAAAAAAAAATTACAGGCTAAATAAAAATTTAAGTGTTGTTGTCGTCTTTTGACAAGTGCAGAAAAGTACAAGTCAAAGCAGTTGAGGTCCATGTTGAAGAGGGTCGAGGCAACAGAGACTCACAAAAAAAGACACTTAGGAGAAATTTAAGCAAATGAGAATCATAAAATAATTTATTTAATTATTATTTTATATTAATTTTACATAAACTTTGTTCTTACAGAATGGGGATATTGGGTTTTAAAATCATGTGATTATTATTCACAATCTTTGATTTAAGAACTCGAAAATAAATTTTGCAATATTGGATTTTTGTATTGTGTAAATGTCTTAAATTGTGTTGCAGGATTTTAGTAGATCTGGTGAATATAAAGTGATAAAGGATTTTAAATTCACGTAAATATGAATCGCGTTATTGATTTGAAAAAAAGCGCAAATACAAAATGCTACACTGGATTTTTAAATCACGTGATTAGACTAACAATGAGTAACTCTTAAATCCTATAAAATCCTATAAATAGGAACATTGATATTTAAAAGTGCGTGAATTTGTATCGCAATGTATGCGGATTCCGAGGTTTCAAATTAATTATGAACTTAATTTACACTTTAAATTTTGGATTGAGGCGAAAATTTTGTCGGATTATTAGCTTTGGTTTGCGGAATCCCACGAAATTAAACACAT